CTTATAGATCGACTCGGCCTCAATCGAGCAGCCGGTTGCAGTGTGTGTGGTAAAACATCTGGGGAGACAAAGGCGGCCGAGCGTGGAGTTTTGGCCACACGCCCGCTCCTTGTGGCGTGCGGGCCTTCATAGGTGCTCGCAAACACCACTTGTCCCAGCAGCCTGTTATAAGCTATGGGGGTGGGGGGGGAGTGGAATCTTGTCTATTGGAGTTTGTATGTTCTCCCCCGATTCTGCATGGGTTACCTCTGGATTATCAAGGTCCTCCTCCGATAGCTAAAATAAACACACGGACAATGTAACAACCGGTATAACTCAACCCCCCCCCAAATGCTGAAGCATTTTACCATATTGCAAATTAGACTGTGAACTATATCTTTCTTTTTTTATTTTACCGGGTAAGGCCCCACTCAGCTAAGTAGCTCTTCTTCAAGAGCGACCTGGCCATCGCAAATGATAGCTCAACGAAGTGGGCTTGTCATCATCATCATCGTGTGATGAGATGTATAAAGCAGCCAAATACTCTAAACGCGTGACGTTGGTTCTTTAATGTGGAGGGAATAACCGGAGGACCCTGAGAAAAATCCACGCGACCATGGAGAGAGAGAGAGAGACACGCACGAACTCCGTGTGTACAGCAGCAGGCGTCAGGGTCAGGATCAGGATCGAACCCGCGATCCCCTGTACACCAGGCGAGGTTGCTGACATCTCATAGCCACCGCTGTAGGGGGCGCAGTCATCCCTCATCCCCTCTCTCCTCCCTCCTCATCCCTCCCTCACTCCTCTCCCCACCTCCTCCTCCTCATCTCTATTTTTAAAACCACAATCAGTTTGCTTCTCTCAAGCGTTCATTACATCAGCCCCTCCCCCACGCACCCCCTCCCCTACTGAACCCCAATCGCTTATCTCTCCACCACGTGACTTCCCAGCCCCCCCCCCCGCCCCCCCCCCACTAATTAAACTACTAATTGAATGGGGACCGCCATCAAACACTGCACTCTACATGTTGGGCACTTAACCAGCGCTTACTACTCCACCATCGCTAGTTTAACTCGCTAACGACTCCACCATCGCTAGTTAAACTCGCCAATGACTCCACCATCGCTAGTTTAACTCGCTAACGACTCCACCATCGCTAGTTAAACTCGCCAATGACTCCACCATCGCTAGTTAAACTCGCTAATGATTCCACCATCGCTAGTTAAACTCGCCAATGACTCCACCATCGCTAGTTCAACTCGCTAATATTGACTCAATAACCATCAATTGCATTTAATTACTGCACCTGTGAAGACGTTGGTCGAGCATCACTCGCCCCTAATTACAACTCATTAACTAATTAACACCACAAATGTCTCATCCCCCGGCTGTAACTACCGCTGCATGATCACGTGAGTGGGTGGAGCGGTGGCGCTTCGGTTAGCGCACCGAGCCGTGAATCCGAGCGTCCTGAGGTCCATTCCCGGACACGGCTAACGTCAGTGGCGAGTGATATTCGAACCTACTCCTGACACTTGCCCCCCCCCCCTTCACCTCAACTGAACCAGAGTGGAGAAGTATGGTCAAACAACCCCCCGCCGGCTGACGCGTGGGTGGGAAAGATGTAATCGTCCAGCAGTGGATTGAGAAAATAGAACTTGAAGTGAATTACAATATTTATTGCACGCAAGCAATGTCACATCAAATCTTATGAATGCCCCCTCAGGGGGTTCAATAAAGGACGCGACTCGGGCGAGACGATGAACCTAAATGGTCTCTGGAATGGTTAAATAAAGGAGGCCAGTCACAACTGATAATTCATCTGAACTGTCTCTCAAATGGTTAAATAAAGACCGTCAGTCACAACAGATAATTCATCTGAACTGTCTCTCAATTGGTTAAATAAAGACCGTCAGTTACAACTGATAACGCATCTCAATGGGCTCTCGAATGGTTAAATAAAGGCCGTCAGTCACAACAGATATTTCATCTTGACGGTCTCTCGAATGGTTAAATAAAGGCCGTCAGTCACAACAGATAACGCATCTCAATGGGCCCTCACCTGCTTAAATAGAGGACAGAGAATTGAATTGTTTGCATATTTGTGGCAGTATGTGGGTCCGCGTGTAGGCTTGCGGTGCGTGCGTGTTATGCACGGCATGGCATGCATGCGTGCATTGTGGTGTGTGTGTGTGCGCGTGTGCGTGTGTGTGCGTGTGTGCGCGCGTATATGTGTGCGCGCGTGTGTGTATGTGTGTGCGCGTGTGTGCGTGTGTGTGTGTGCGCGTGTGTGTGGGCGCGTGTGCGTGTGTGCGTGCGCGTGTGTGTGTGTGTGTGCGGGTGTGTGTATGTGTGCGTGCACGTGTGTGTGTGTGTGCGCGCGTGTGTGTGTGCGCGCGTGTGTGTGTGCGCGTGTGTGTGTGTGTGTGCGCGTGTGTGTGTGTGTTGGGGGGGGGGGGGGTTGTGACAATTATCTGAACCGGTGCCCGGGCCTGCCTCGTAGGTCGACTCAGCCTCAAGTGAGTACCTGGTGCGGTGTGTAAACATCGCCACTGGGGAGACAAAGGCGGTCGGACGCGGTGCTGGCCACCCACCCCATCGTGTGCCGAGCCATCATCGGTGCTGCTCGCTCAAAGAAATTGACAGCTCACCTCATCTTTGCACAACAGTAGTGCCCTTATATCTGTTTAATATTCCGGTGAATTAATGTCGACCTGCAAAAAAAAATGTCCAACTCCCATCAGTCGTCTGTGGATCATTACGAGACGTGCCTGTAGCCTGCTTAGATTATTTTGAGGCTATACATTTCCACACGACGATGATGATGAGCGACTTCTCAGAGCTATTATTTGTGATAGCCAGGTCGCTTCTAAAAAAAAACAAGCTACGTAGCTAAGTGGGGCTTTATCTGGTAATTCTTTTTTTTTTAAGTGGTTTAGTTTACGTGATTTTTACAATGGATTAGTTTTTTGCCTTCCCTGTATTCCTACCGTGTTGAGGTGTCGTTTATTGCTGTAACGTTCTGACCCTGCACCTCCTGGACATCTGTGAATAAGAGAGCTTGGTAGCTCATCGGATTTCCTCCAGTCTATAAATACATCTTCTGATTCTGATATTTCTAATAATTGATTTCTCATGCGACGACCAGGACGCATGTTCATTGTTCGATCTCTTCCTCTTTGCTTCCTACGTTATTCTACGCGGTGGCTAGGAAATGTTAACAACCTCGCCTGATCGATCTCGACCCTTGACGTCTGCTGCTGTATATGTGGAATTTGTGGTGTATCTCTCTCTCTCATCATCATCATTACCACGGTGGCGAGGAGATGTTAACAACCTCTCCTGGTATGCAGGATGTCATGGGTTCAAACCTGAGCCTTGATGCCTGCTGTATATTTAGAGTCTGTGGTGTCTCTCTCTCTCTCATAATCATCATCACGGTGACGAGGAGACGATGCCTACTGCTGCTGTATATCTAGAGTCTGTGGTGTCTCTCTCAATCTCTCTCCCCGTGTTCGCGTGGAATTTGTCTTTCTCTCTTTCCGGGTCCTCCAGTTGATGTTTTTTTTTTCACCCATCCCGCATTTCGAATCCAAATCATCCACGCGTTTGGAGACTACTCGGCTGCGACTTTACGAATGCGCACACGACGACGATGATGATGATGATGAGTCCACTTTTCCTTGAGCTATCATTTGTGGTGGCCAGGTCGCATTTAGAAAAAAGTAAATAGTTTTAAAAATATTAATTTGTTTATATTTAGTTATCTACGTGACCTGACCACCTCCCCTTTCCCCCATAGCAGGTCAATCTTGCAAACGAGACTCCTCTCTATCTGGCTCTCTTGAGTTCTCACCTGGGTTAAACAAAATAAACTTGAAACTTGAAACCTCAACAGCACTTGTCCTCCCCCCCTCCCCTCCCCAACGTACTGTGTAGGCTACACGGAGTATCTTTGCTTTTACGTCTATCCGTGTCTGTGTGTCTGTGTCTGTGTGTGTGTCTGTCTGTGTGTGTCTGTTTCTGTGTGTGTGTCTGTGTCTGTCTCTATGTCTGTGTGTCTGTGTGTGTGTATGTGTGTGTGTGTCTATGTGTGTGTGTCTGTGTGTCTGTGTCTGTGTGTCTGTGTCTCTATGTCTGTGTGTCTGTGTGTCTGTGTGTGTGTCTGTGTGTGTGTCTGTCTGTGTCTGTGTGTGCCGACCTTCATAGGTGGCTACTCGTTGACCGTTCGTTAAGACGACACGGATATGTGTCTCTGTGTGTTCAAATTTCCACACGTGCAGTTACACACGTGCACACGCACGTATACACACACGTGCAGTTACACACGTGCACACGCATGTATACACACGTGCAGTTACACACGTGCACTCGCACGTATACACACACGTGCAGTTACACACGTGCACACGCACGTATACACACACGTGCAGTTACACACGTGCACTCGCACGTATACACACGTGCAGTTACACACGTGCAGTTACACACGTGCAGTTACACACGTGCACTCGCACGTATACACACGTGCAGTTACACACGTGCAGTTACACACGTGCACACGCACGTATACACACGTGCAGAGGCAGACACACACATGTAAGAGATCACACGTGTACACACACAAATAACACGTCAAAAGATCACCCGTATAGTCTTAACAGACTTGGGGCAAGTGTTGTTAGCGAGCACCTATGAAGGCGGAACGGTACACGAGGGGGTGGGTGGCCAGCACCACGCCCGACCGCCTTTGTCTCCCTAGTGGCAATGTTTACTACACACCGTACCAGGTACTCATTTGAGGCTGAGTCGACCTAGGGGAGGCCCAGGACCGGTTCAGATAATCGTCACTGGTGTCGGCCGTGAGCGGGAATCGAACCTGGGTAGCCAGGTTCGTAGGGGTAGCGTAGCGCTAACCGCTACCGCTACGCTACCGCTCCCCACACACACACGCGCGCGCGCACAGGCACGCGCGTGTGTGTTTGTGCAAGAGACAGAGTTAGCGACACAGAGTTACTCACAACCAGCTGCTGCAGGAGGCGAGGCGCACGGATCCCACCATCATCACCACCATCACCGTCTCCATCATCATCGCCGTGATCAGCATCATCAGCAGCAGCAAAGTGGGGCCCGTCACTTGAAGAGATTTCCAGCGCTTGAGTTTCTTGAGAGACTCTCTCGAGCGAAGAACGCAAGACACAACTCTTCCGCCTTTGCCTCTCTCTGTTTCTGATCTGCTTATTTATTTACTACGGTTATTTGTGTCACCTTCGCGGTGGATTATTTGAATCGCTTTCCCCCCCCCCCCGCCCCCGGTCTTCAGTTAAGAGCCCCCCTCTCTCCTCCCCCCACTCCGCTCCACCGTCAATCAATATCAGGATGTGACTATAACCCTACCCCAAGGCTAAGGGCTGTTTAAATCACCTCGCCTATGTCGATCAAAGCCCCTGCAGTAGGACTCCTAAAAGACTCTGCAATAGGACTCTGCAATATGACTCCGATAGGACTGCAACACGACTCTGCAATAGGACTCTGCAATAGGACTCTGCAATATGACTCCTATAGGACTCTGGAAATAGGACTCCTATAGGACTGCAATATTACTCCTATGGGACTCTGCAATAGGACTCTGCAATATGACTCCTATAGGACTCTGCAATATGACTCCTATAGGACTGCAATATTACTCCTATGGGACTGCAATATTACTCCTATGGGACTCTGCAATAGGACTCTGCAATAGGACTCTGCAATATGACTCCTATAGGACTGCAATAGGACTCCTATAGGACTCTGCAATAGGACTCTGCAATATGACTCCTATAGGACTCTGCAATATGACTCCTATAGGACTGCAATATTACTCCTATGGGACTGCAATATTACTCCTATGGGACTCTGCAATAGGACTCTGCAATAGCACTCTGCAATAGGACTCCTATAGGAATCTGCAATAGGACTCCTATAGGAATCTGCAATAGGACTCCTATAGGACTCTGCAATAGGACTCCTATAGGACTCTGCAATATGACTCCTATATGACTCTGCAATAGCACTCTGCAATAGGACTCCTATAGGAATCTGCAATAGGACTCCTATGGGAATCTGAAATAGGACTCCTATAGGACTCTGCAATATGACTCCTATAGGAATCTGCAATAGGACTCCGATAGGACTTTGCAATATGACTCCTATAGGACTCTGCAATAGGACTTCTATAGTCCAATCGCCCGCTCAGCGGTGCTCTATTTCCTTCTCACTGTTGCCGTTCCGGAACAATGGCAATCCTCCAGACAAAAGTTGTAATTCACTTATTGACTCTCGCAATTACGAGTAGCCTTGTTGTTGTTGTTGATGATGCTGGTGTTGTCGATTCGCACTTTGTATGTTTGTGATGGTGAGTAATCCTCGCTGCTGCTGCTGCTGTTGCCTTGCTGTGGATTCACCCGCTCTGCCTTATCGGGAATGTCTCCGCGGGTATCTCCCTTTGCGAATGATCTCCTCGCCTTCTGGTTCAAATTAATCAACGCTCGTGCCCTGCGGTGAATCTCAACGACGCCTTCAGCCTGTTGCCGTACGATACATTTGACTCTGTCTCTTTTAGTAGACCTGTAGAGGTGTATTTACCGTGTCGCTGTTGGATGTTGTTGTTGTTGCTAGACGACTTATCTCTCTACTGGATTTTATTCAATTCCCGTATGTCCGTGTGTGTGTGTGTCCCTGTCTGTATGTATGTCTGCCTATCTTAGTGTCTGTCTTAAGTTTCTCTCTAGGTATCTTTCTGTCCGTCTGTCTGTGATTAAGTATCTGCTAGTGTGTCTGCCTGCGTATCTGTAAATCTATCTTAGTGTCTGTCTTAGGTTTATGTGTGTCGATAAGACGATACGTTTCTCTGATGTCTGTCTGTCTTTGTGTCAGTCTTGTCTGTGTCTTTGTCTATCTTTCAATATTCTCTTGACCTGTCCCTCTCTCTCTCTCTCACCGTTGTATTCCCTCCTTTTCTCTCTCACGACTTCACGCACACTTACACTCACTCTCTCTCACACTCACACTCTCTCTCACGCTCTCTCTCTTTTCCACAATCTCTCTCTCCCGCACTATTCCCACACTCACACTCTCTCTCTCCCCCACACTCTCCCACACTCACTCTCTCTCCCACAATCTCTCTCCCCCACACTCACACTCTCTCCCCCACACTCTCTCTCTCTCCCGCACTATTCCCACATTCACACACTCTCTCCCCCACACTCTCACACACTCACTCTCTCACACTCACTCTCTCTCCTACACTCTCACACACTCTCTCCCACACTCTCTCTCTCTTACACTCACTATCTCTCCCACACTCTCACACACTCTCACACACTCACTCTCTCTCTCTCACACTCACTCTCTTCTCCCACACTCTCACACACTCACTCACACTCACTCTCTCTCTCACACTCACTCTCACACTCACTCTCTCTCTCCAACACACTCTCCCACACTCACTCACTCTCTCTCCCACACTCACTCTCTCTCTCACACTCACTCTCTCTCCCACACTCTCAAACACTCACTCACTCTCTCTCCCACACTCTCCCACACTCTCTCTCTCTCACACTCTCACACACTCACTCACTCTCTCTCCCACACTCTCCCACACTCTCTCACACTCACTCTCTCTTCCACACTCTCACACACTCTTCCACACTCACTCTCTCTCCCACACTCTCACACACTCACTCACTCTCTCTCCCACACTCTCTCACACTCACTCTCTCTCCCACACTCTCCCACACTCTCTCACACTCACTCTCTCTCCTACACTCTCACACACTCACTCACTCTCTCTCGCACACTCTCCCACACTCTCTCACACTCACTCTCTCTCCCACACTCTCTCTCCCACACTCTCACTCACTCTTCCACACTCACTCTCTCTCTCTCCCACACTCTCTCACTCTCTCTCACACTCACTCTCTCTGCCACACTCACTCTTTCTCCCACTCTCTCTCCCACACTCTCACGCACTCACTCACTCTTTCTCCCACACTCTCTCACACTCACTGTCTCTGCCACACTCACTCTCTCTCCCACACTCTCTCCCACACTCTCTCACACTCACTCTCTCTCCCACACTCACTCTCTCTCTCCCACACTCTCTCCCACACTCTCTCACACTCACTCTCTCTCCCACACTCTCCCACACTCTCTCTCACTCTCTCTCCCACACTCTCACACACTCACTCACCCTCTCTCCCACACTCTCTCACACTCACTCTTTCTGCCACACTCACTCTCTCTCCCACACTCTCTCCCACACTCTCTCCCACACTCACTCTCTCTCACACTCTCACCCTCTCTATACTACTCTCGCTATTGAGCTCTGTTATTTGACCTCCCCTTTCACTTTCTCTCCCACACTCTGATACACCCTCTCACCCTCCCCTCTTCCACTCTCACCAACTCTCTCTCTCTCTGCCTCTCACACTCTCTCCTCGACCAGTTTCACACACCTCCTCTCACACTCTGATACAATCACACTCTCACACTCTCCCCCTCTTCCACTCTCACAAACTCTCTCTCTCTCTCTCTGCCTCTCACACTCCTATACACTCACACTCTCTCACTCTGCTTCTACCTCTCACACACTCTCTGACACTCACACTTTCCCCTCTACCACTCTCACACCCTCGCCGGCACTCTCACGCACTCACTCTGCAACTCACTCTCCCTCAACCCACGCGTCTCTCCGTTCACCGCATCGCAATTCCCACGGTGAACCTGGCTCACAAAGTTGATCGGAGTCGGGAGTTGATAGGATGCAGGCGTTGATCAGATTCTGGAATTTATCAGATCCTCGAGTTGATCGGAGTCAGGAGTTGATCAGATCCTGGAGTTGATCAGATCCTGGAGTTGATCGGAGTCAGGAGTTGCTGATCTCGATTATTCTGGAGTTGATCTCGGTGATGCACTGAGTGCGTGAATGTAGTCGTAAGAGTCGTCGCTGTAGTCGTTGTTGTAGTCGTTGCTGTAGTTGTTGTTGTAGTCGTTGTTGTAGTTGTTATTGTAGTCGTTGTTGTAGTCGCTGTAGTTGTTGTTGTAGTCGTTGTTGTAGTCGCTGTAGTTGTTGTTGTAGTCGTTGTTGTAGTTGTAGTCGTTGTTGGAGTTGTTGTTGTAGTTGTTGTTGTTGTAGTCGTTGAAGTCGTAGTTATTTGGAGTTACGATTCTCCCCGCTCTGACAAAAGCGCTGTCAATGTTTAACCAGAAACAGCGGGCCCCGTGTTCTGGGGGTTGTCTCCCTGTCCCTCCTTGTCTCTGTCTGTCCCTCCCTGTGTCTCCCTGTCCCTCCCTGTGTCTCCCTGTCTCTGTCTGTCCCTCCCTGTGTCTCCCGGTGTCTCTCTGTTTCTCCCTGTCCCTCTCTGTGTCTCCCTGTCCCTCTCTGTGTCTCCCTGTCTCTGTCTGTCCCTCCCTATGTCTCCCTGTCCCTCCCTGTGTCTCCCTGTTCCTCCCTGTCTCCCTGTGTCTCCCTCTCCCTCCCTGTGTTTCCCTGTGTCTCCCTGTCTCTGCCTCTCCCTCCCTGTTTATCCCGGTGTCTCTCTGTCTCTCCCTGCGTCTGTTTCCCTCTCTCTCTCTGTCTATCCCTGTCTCCCTGCGGCTCCCTGTCTCCCAGTGTCTCACTGTATCTCTGTTTCCCCCTGTGTCTCCGTGAGTGTCTGCGTCTCGAGAAATGTCTGTCTCTGCGTGTGCCCTTGTCTCCCTGTCTCCGTGTGTGTGTGTGCCCGTGTATCTATATATGTCTGTAGGTATTTGTCTTTATATATGTCTCCTATACCTCTATGCGTCTGTGTCTCTGCCTGCGGCTAAGTCTGTGTGCGGATCGATGTCTGTCTCTCTCTATAAGCGTCTCCGTCTATATCTGCGTGTCTCTGTGTCTCCGCGTGTCTCCGTCTCGGTCTGTCACCCCACACGTGTCTCTGTCTGTCTCTGCCTGTCTCCGCGTCTCTGTATCTCGACTTCTGTATCGATGCGTGTCTCCCGCTATCTCTGTGTGTGTCTCTGTCTCCGCGTGCGTCTCCCGCTATCTCTGTGTGTCTCTGTCTCCGCGTGCGTCTCCGGCTATCTCTGTGTGTGTCTCTGTCTCCGCGTGCGTCTCCCGCTATCTCTGTGTGTCTCTGTCTCCGCTCGTGTCTCCCAGTGTCTCCGCGTGTGTCTCTGTCTCTGCGCGTGTCTCCCGCTATCTCTGTGTGTGTCTCTGTCTCCGCGTGCGTCTCCCGCTATCTCTGTGTGTGTCTCTGTCTCCGCGCGCGTCTCCCAGTGTCTCCGCGTGTGTCTCTGTCTCTGCGTGTATCTCCCGCTATCTCTGTGTGTGTCTCTGGCTCCGCGCGTGTCTCCCAGTGTCTCCGCGTGTGTCTCTCCCAGTGTCTCCGCGCGTGTCCCCCAATGTCTCCGCGCGTGTCTCTCCCAGTGTCTCCGTCTCAGTGTTTCTGCCTTGGACTCTCCACGCGCTCCCCTCTCATAGCGGGGGGTGGATACGGGGGGAGGAGAAGTGGGGGGGGGGGTAATGTGGGAGGCGGGCGGGGGGGAGATACGGGGGGGAGGAGGAGAGGGGGAGGGGGCGGAGGAAGGGGGGGGGTGATGGGGGAGGGGGATCCAGGATCTGAGACTACAGGCTCACTCACTCACCCCTCTCTCTCCCCCTCTCACTTGATCTCTCTCTCACCCCCATGCTGCTGCTGATGATGATGATTATAACGACGACGATGCTGATGCTGCTGCTGCTGACGATTATGCTGTTGCTGTAGCAGATGGTAATGCTGGTGATGCTGCTAATGATGGTGATGCTGATGGTGATGCTGCTGCTGATGATGATAATGGTGATGCTGCTTATGAGGATGCTGATGGTGAGGATGCTGACGATGCGAGTGCTGACGGTGCTGATGATACTGCTGATGATGCTGCTGCTGATGCCGCTTCTGATGATGACGATGCTACTACTGCTGATGATTCCGGTGATGTTGGTGGTGGTGATGATAATCGTCATATCAGTGACGATTATCTGAACCGGTCCTGGGCAACCCCTAGGTCGACTCAGCCTCAAATGAGTACCTGGTGCGGTGTGTGAACATCGCCACTGGGGAGACAAAGGCGGTCCGGGCGTGGAGTTGTCCACCCACTCCCCTGGTGTGCCGTGCCGGCCTGCATAGGTGCTCGCTAACAGCACTTGCCCCAACAGCCTGGCGCAGGCTACACTGGGGAGGATCTTTGTTTTGTTTGATGATGATGATGATGCCACTGAGAATATGACCCCCGTGTGAGAGTCTCACGGGGGTCTGTCGCGGCTCATTGCGCACGAGGGGTCACGCGACTTTGTCCACGTTGCGTGCCGCGGTGCCGGGCACGTGGACAGTCCGACTGCCGACGTGCTGGGTGACAAGAGCGGTGGTAGGGGAAGGCGGTAGGGGGGGGGGTGGGGAGGTGGTAGGTAGGTAGGTAGGGGGAGGGGACACCCAACCAGACGCTGCATACGAGGGTGGTGAGACACTGGTGGCCAGCAGCTGCCTTGCTGTACTGTAGCCTGTCCGTCAAGACCCAAGGAACGCGTCGAGGGGATCTTCAAGCGATCTGGAGAACCGCGGTCATCTCCCCGGGCGACACTCCGTGCGAGTTTGCGGTGGGCGTGTGAGAGTGTGTGAGTGAGCGTGTGTGGGTGTGAGTGAGTGTGTGTGGGTGAGTGTGTGATAGCTGCTCATTCAGAGGAGGAGTTGGAGACGCTGCTGCTGCTGAGACTGGAGCGTGCCACTAAGAGATGGGGCCTTACCATCAGCCCCACCAAAACTAAGCACCTGCCTGGGTATTTTGTACCATCGGACACTCCACCACCACAACTCCCAATCGGTGATGGGACAGTTGTGGAGAGAGTGGAGAGTTTCCCATACCTGGGCAGTGTGCTTATGACCGGCTCCAGTTTAACAGCAGAGGTCTCACTCCGAATCAGTCGAGCGGCAATATATTTTCATCGGTTGCGTAACGCTGTGTGGAAGCTACCTGGTCTG